GAAAGACTGACCAGCCCTTTCGCTTCGCCCGCTTTTAGGTGCTGTCCGTTCCGTCATCTCCGGGTACCTTATTGTTCTTAAGTCGCTCGAGGGCCGCAAAGATCTCGCCCTGGTAAGCATCCGGCATATCCTCGGTATAGTGGCGCGTAAGTGGGGTTTTGTGATCATCGCTGCTGGATTCCGTTTGTTTCACAGTCACAGATAGATATCAAATAAATAACAACCAAATGACGTCGAGTATTTTATTTTTATTTATTACAACTTTATTGCCAGACATAAGCAATCGGCGGACTTAATGCCATAGGCATTCTCTACCAGTCAGCCAGTATGATTGTTGGAGACAAATAGTATGGCGATAGAGCAAAGTTGCTAAAAATTAAATAAAATGAACAATATCAAAAAGTATGTGAAAAAGTTAGTCGATTGATAGGCATAAAATCGGAAATGTCTGTTCGCTTCTAGGATTTGAACGTCTGGCGCGCAAACCAAACAACTGTCTTTTTGATATTATAATTATAAAACATTGCATATTATGATGTCATAGCAACGTCTCTGCTCAAAATATCAGCTCAAGATATTTTGCTGTTCGATATTTAAACTTAGACCAGTGCGTCTGACAACATGTGTCAAACATTTTATCACCAAAGTACTATGACATGGGTGGTGATAAAACCACGCTCTTTACGTATTCCACGCACTACCATAGTAGGTACCTGTTGAAAGAAGAAATATTAATATTGTTTGACGAGTGTGAGCCCTCGGGCCGTCCCTGGCGGGCATGCTGTAACTCCGTCCGTCACATTATGCGAGCACGCAGCTCACGTACCACTCTGTTGGGTTTTCTTTCACTTTGTAAAGTATTATTGTTCTGAATTTATATACGTGATGGGAAACCGAATGTTCCATGCGATGTATCACTCATTCGCGTATCGATGTCGTCGGGAACAGACAATATTGTATTAAGAACAAATACGGGTGGTATACTAACGAAGCTGCTTTTTTGTGCCGTTCCTTCGTTTGGTTATTGGATTTCATGTAATAGAACGGGTACAAATGAAATCAGAGAGCACGCTATATCGTTATGATTTTCAAACATTATATTTCTCTCAATTTATCCATCTTTGTGAGTGATAGCTCGCTGTTTGATGAAGTCTTCTCAAAGGTCTGGAGAGCTTTCGAATTTGACAGGGCTTGAGTTGAAAAACTAATTTTATATTTTCTCGTGTCTGTGTGTTTGAGGTAACATTGTTTCTTTTCTGACTGCCTGGCATAAGTGCTTTGGCTTCTTTGGAAAAGATACCTTTAATTAAGTGACTTATTTTATTTATATTTTTGACGACCTCCGTGGCCGAATGAATTGTACGCCGGCTTTCAAGGCGTCGCCTTCTCGAGAGGTCCTGGGTTCTAATTCGGATGGGGGCAGATGTTTGTGTGATGAATACAAGCATTTGTACTCCAGTCATGGATGTTTAATATGTATTTTTATATACCCTAGTGTCCCATTATACAAGACAATGCTTAATTTGGGATTATTGTGGGGAAACGCCGAAGACATTCAAACTATTTTTGTACTGCAGAAGAGAGCTATTCGATCAATTTATAATCTTAAAGTTAAGGATTTCTTAAGAGATAGGATTAAAGAATTTGGTATAATGACGGTGGCATCACAATACATTTACGAAAATTTATTACTTGTAAGAAAAAATATTAATTTGTTTCTTAAAAACAGTGATGTTCACACACTTAATACAAGAAACAAAAATAAACTAACTTTACCTGCTACTAGGCTTCACAAAATCAATAATTTATTTAAAGGTCTTTGTGTTCGCTTATACAATAAAGTCCCAAGCAATATCCAAGAGTTAAGCATAAATAAATTCAAAGATAGTATAAAAAAGCACTTATTAAAAAAGCTTATTGCAAAGTGTCTCATTATATTACAGACAAAAATGCTTGGGTTTGAACTGTTCCAATCATTCCAACAGGTTTTCTATATTAAATAAATCATGATTGTATTGACGTTGTAACACCATAATGATTTGTAAATGTTGTTACATTATGCTTTTAATGTTGTGGAGTTTTTTTCGCTCGTTTTTCTCCGCAGCTAAAAAATATGTCCAATAACAAGTGGTAGGGAAAAAAATGTTTGGACAATTCAAAAGTGTTGTACTATACATCCAATTTGAATAAAGATATATTGATTTCTGATTTTTGATTACTAGGCTAATTGGTGTGTGTTCAAAAAAATGTATTTACAATAATGCTAAGTATGTTAGCAAAATTATTAATGTATACTTTTTTTTAACTTTATTGAGTTTAAATCTAAAGAAAATATAACTAGAAAAATTCCACGCGGACCAGGCAGCAGACGGGACTCGAACCCGCACCCTTCGCAATCCGGGCGAATGCACTGACTTTGTAAAAGTATTCATTTGACATTGTGGGTTACCTATAATGCGAAGAGATGGCGCTGCCTTGTAGCTTAAGAATGGCTAGAAGAATTTCGACGCGGTCCGTGAGGGCCGCGGTAGCATAATTGGTCAGTGCATTCGCCCGGATTGCGAAGGGTGCGGGTTCGAGTCCCGTCTGCTGCCTTTGAATTTTTTCTAGTTATATTTTCTTTAGATTTAAACATCAAGCAGTTACATGCTTTAAAATAATAAAAAAAAATATTTATTGAGTTTTCTCCATTTTTTAAAAATATTGAAGCATATACAACTCCTTGAGTTTCGAGATGAATAATGTTATGCGTACTTTTCATATTATATCCAAGTTTGAGCTTAACAACTGTGACTGATATCTAAGTTTCGGACGGGCTCCACCGATTCTCGCTAGAGTAGCTTTCAAGACTCAGAACTACTTGTTATCAACTAACAGCAGCAGTTCAAGGAAATGAATTTACATTAAACAATTACAATTCGTGCAGTAACGTATACAGTTGGTGGTTGCGCCTGTATGGTATTTTGAATTGACCGCCTAAAGATTGTTATAATCGCTGATTGTCTTATTTTGAACTAATAGTTAAACTGGTACTATACTAGTGTTGCCGATCGATAGTCGACTATCGAGGATTAATCGATAGTCTATCGATAGCCGACCAATCGTATGACAATCGATCGGCTTATCGATAGTATCGATAGTATCGATACTATCGATAGTATCGATAGCACAGAACAAGCCAATAACTATCGGATGACTATAATACTATCGATACTACCGATAGTATTGTAGGTCAGTAATAACAAACTATCGATAGTATCGATACTGTCGATTTTATTGGCAACTATACTATCGATAGTGTAACAATTTGCAATAGTATTGTTTACAATTTTCAGGTATTATAGTCAATCACAATCAACTATTAGAATTAGCACAGCTCGATAGAAATGTTTATAAAAATATATATCGGCCTCTAATAGTCCTCAACTACAATACTGTTAAAACATACCTAATACTATTGCAAATTGGTAGACTATCGATAGTCTAAAACAATCGCTAGTATCGATACTATCGATAGTATTGTTGCAGATAAAATCAACGGTATCGATAGCATCGATACTATCAATAGTTTGTTATTAACGAACTACAATAGTATCGATAGTATCGATACTATTGCACTCATTCGATAGTATTGCCTTGTTCTGTGCTATCGATAGTTTCGATACTATCGATTGTATCGATTCTATGGATAGGCCTATCGATAGGGTACATGATTTTCGATGTAAACTGTCGATAGTTTTCATATCGATAGTTCGGCAACACTATACTATACTCATTCTATTCCCATCTCCCTCCTGCACATACCTATCTCGTAAGCAAGAGCGAGTTGACGAATGTCCACTGGGGACATCTAGCGGGTGTTGAAGTTAACATCCTTCTTAGCAAAATCGCACCTTTTGTTAATGGCTGCCGTAAATCGTGCTCTTCATAATGAATTCGTTTGATAAACAGTAACAATAAGTTCGAGTGACGTTGGTGCGTGCAAATCAATAGACAGCAATTGCGTACTGGTTCATTATGATTATGTCGTTGCAGGACGTAGCCCTCAAATACCCACATATGTAATAGACATTATTTTATTATTTGAATCTAGTTTTAGTTGAATTGAGATTTAGTAAAATTGCTGGAAGTTGGCCTTAATGGATTAGCTTACGTAATGCCAGACCAAACTCGACCGATGCTGAAACATCAAGCTCCTTATCGACAACAAAAATATAAAAATGTAATATTATAAAGAAAATATGACTAGAAAAAAATCCACGCGGACCAGGCAGCAGACGGGACTCGAACCCGCACCCTACGCAATCCGGGCGAATGCACTGACCAATTATGCTACCGCGGCCCTCACGGACTGCGTCAAAATTCTTCCAGCCATTCTTAAGCTGCAAGGCAGCGCCATCTCTTCGCATTATAGGTAACCCACAGTTTCTAGTCATATTTTCTTTAGATTAACCATCAAGCAGTTACATGCTTTAAAAAAAAATGTGTGTGTCAGCTCCGACGCACGACTGGAGTTTACTTCTTAATTTCGATAGTCTAACCAGACGCAAAAAGAGTTTATTTAACTTAAAAAAGATTGATACTGTATGAAAGGTTAAATTAACAAATTAATGAAAAAATATACATATATAAATATATATTTATTCATTTCATATACATTTATTATAACTAATCGACGAAATATTTTACATTAAAATTTTTACAATAGTCAATTTCAGATGTGCATAAATAAAGGTACGCTACGATACTGTGCTACGGTGTAGCACTACGGCTGCTACAGCGTAGACAGTAAAAACGTAACGAGGTCATTCATCGATAGATTTCACTCCTCACATTTTTCTCATATCGGGCCCCTTATACATGCAAATCGATTCTTAAGGAGTAAACTCCAATAATAAAAATTATAAATGTAATATTATGCTGGCGATATTCAAATGCGTCACACATGGATTAGAACACCACTTTGAAAATTAACTTCAACGGCGTCGTATAAGCAAGAACTAGTTCGTCTCTTTACGACAGGGCGGGTCGCCGTCATATAATAAAGTTGTGGCCCTATAACACGGTTTCGGCCGCGAGAGCGCGCTGTCCCGTGGGGCGTGGGATTGCGCCATAACCCATCGCCGTAAAGGGACAGCGGGACGGCTCAAACCTTTCTTTATAATGACGTCGTTATTAACGCACAAGTTTTTATTCCATGTAACTATACTTATAGATGCGTGTCCTTGTTGTTGCAAAGGCTTTTGTGAAAGCGAGAGGTTAGTACGTCATAAGAATAGAATAGAATAGAATATATTTTATTAACCCTCATATTATAGCCTCAGCATTAGCTGATGCGACATTGTGTCGTACCAGCGCTGTTATTCTGGCAGAGCCTGTTTAGTGACACACAAAAAAAAGACGTGTTAGTTATTTCTGCTTTATTACTTGAAAGGATGTATGGACTTAGCATCTTTAGCTTTCAAGTAACAAAACATAAAAATAAATAAAAGTCAATCAAAACAGCAAAAAACATAATAAATCAGCAAGCAAAGCAATGCAAAAATAAAAACGAAGCAATTCGTTTAATTTCATAAGGATTTCACTTCGGCCCAGTCAATCTTCGGTTCGGTTTAAACTTCGGTCGGTTTTAACTCCAACCAACTGTTGGTTGAAGTTAAAACCTGGAAGATTTACTAAATGATTTAAAAGCAAAAATAAAAAAATAAATCGTCAGTGTGCTATTGATATAGGTATATATGCGTGTAACTCGTCCCCCACCAGAATTTGACAGAAACTTTTTTATGGAATAAAATGCTTAGGGCTACTCCCGTTAATTAGATACAAATCAAAGAATTTACCACAAATGAATTAAAATTCACGTCGTGGCGAGACTCTAAACGCGCGATTCTCTGGGAGAAATTGGTCTTCGTACGCAAGTATTCTGCGATCCCCTCCGCCTTCTTGGTGTAATGCAAGCGGGACACATACAGGAGCGTCACAGGTTTCTCTGGACGCAGCAGGTTATTCGGCCCGATCGGGGCGACACCGTACAGATAACATTCACATATCTGCTTCCTCTTCTTCCTCTCCACCGTGTTGAAACCCTCTTCGTCACAATTACGGTTACGTGTTTCCGTCGGAGTTGCACAAGGGATGTCGTGGCTAGGGATGTCGAAAGTTGAAAAAAATATCGATATATCGATACATCGATATTTTAAGAAATATCAATATCGGCTTCGATATATCGCGAAAAAAACATCGATATATCGATATATCGGACCAATTTTCCCAAAAATGTACAGTAGCTCACGAAATATGACACGCGGAATAATAATGGAACGAAAATTATCTCCCTAAAAATAGACCCTATTTTCGAATGATGACATAGACAATACTAAATACAGCACAGATCATGGATATGTTGAATATCATTAATCTGAGATCCAGTTACGATTTTTCCAGATACGAATTTAGTTAGATCGTGATATGCCGCTAATAATGAAAAAAAATATCGTTTTTGATACGAATTTCGATATTGGTTATTTTGTATCGATGTATCGATATATCGAATCAAAATATATCGGCAAAAAATATCGATATATCGAACAAAAAATATCGATATATCGAACAAAAAATATCGATATATCGATACATCGATATATTTTCAACAAGCCTAGTCGTGGCTACCCTTCTTCTTTGGATGAGTGGATTTCCGCTCAGGTTGCGTGACAGTGATGGTTCGGCTGGCGGCCGCAGCTGCGTAAGCGCGTTTTGGTGTTAAGAGCCCTTTCACATTTTTGCAAAAAACCGTAATTTTTGAGCGCCCTTTAAAAAAGATTTTGACTATTTCTAATACAAGTAAACAGTAGATTTATTCTTCCTATTGTAAGGTAATGTAGAATATTTGCAAAAACTATTTTCCTTTTTTTGTACTGATCGTTCTACTGCGGCTAGTTTACGGAAAAAAACGATAATATGCTCAATTTCGAACGCCTCAATTTCTCAATAATATTCAATAAATTAGATCAAATTAATTACTACGATATCAGAAATATGTTTTTGTTAGAACATAATGTATTAAAATTTTCATTTTCCATCTCATTAATTATCAAAAAAAAAAACATCTAACCTCCGTGATTTTTATATTGAATCAAATAGAATTATTATATGAAACATTCATAAAACTAATCTACCATCATTGAACTACTGAAATATGTATATATTTTTATAATTAGTTCATTAATACTTATTTTATAAGACTCGAAACATCACCCGTAAAATGCAATATATACTAGTGCAAATCTACCTGCGCGCCGGTCAGTACGGCAGCGGCGCAATTTTGTAAAAAGGCTCTAACGCGCAGTCTTCTGACGTCTCCGGTGTGGCGGAGGGGCTGATGACTGGGTGCGGCGCGAAGCTTTGCGCGCAATGACGGCGGCCGGTGACGCACTCGTATGCAGGGCTTGTATACCGGTTAATTTTCAAACCTAAATCAGTGTCAAGTATATTAGGAGCATTTTATTTAGGTTTGGCTCTACCTTAACCTTAAAAAACCGGTTTTCCTAAAGAGCGTAATCAAATAGGTTTTGAATCAATTTAGCGGTTTTTAAAGGGTTTCGTTTCGCTCTTTCTGACGGCATCGATAATAAATGCATAACTTGACTCACTAGACGCTAGCAAACGTGTCAATAAATGCATCAATCTCTGAGCATTAACAAGTTGTGACTTGATTAGTTCAAACAAAACAAACTTCAAGCGATGTCGACGCGTGCACGTGTCGCTCTGGATTAAACCGGTTTATTAAGGTTTTAGGTACCGCTTTCATTTCGGACGCGCTCCGAACGAAACCTTTACTAAAAACCGGTATTAACCTTTATTTACCGGTATTTTCAAAACCGGTTTCAAGCCCTGCTCGTATGCGCCGACTCTAAACTGACGGATGCATTATGCGCCCCGCAACGCGTGTTCACGTTGGAGGCCTCGGGTGACCTACTTGTCCAAGCGGCGCTACTTAATGGCTCCAGTTGGGCTCGCAACTCACCGATGGTGTTGTTTGATTCCTCCAATTCGTTCACTACATCGGCCAGATTTGCTTTTAGGAAGTTGATGTCCTTGAGCAACCTGGTGACATCGATGTGGTCGAACGTGACGGGAAGGAGCTTGTGTAGCTCCTTCGCTACGAATGTAGGCATGTCATCTGGATCCAATGAAGGCTATCGCGTATGAATCCGCCGCTAGAGGCGCTTGTGTAGCGTGAGGTCTCCGAAATGTCAAATGTTATTGGTTGTGGGTTGACTACGCGGGTTTATTTCTAATTAAAATAATGTTGTGAATATTTAGTAATAACTCGGCTTAATTATAGCAAATATGAGTTACGTGGCATTGAATGTCAGTTATTTAAAAGCGGAGCTAAGGAAAAATAATTATGTCCTCCTTTTTGCCGAATAAAACGGAGCTGCGCAACACTGTGGTATGGCCAATTATGTTTAGGATACGGTTCTTTTGTATTAAAATATGATTTAAATGTATACTTTGATTTCACGCGCGTATTAATAAACATTAAAAGTTACAATTCAGGACCTCACTCAACAGTGGCGCCATCTGGTGAGACAAAAAACGGTAGCCCTCATTCTGGTCGGGTCCTGCAGACTCTTCTTTGTTCCATCCCTCCGGTGAGATGGCATCTGATCGGCCTCGCCGACGGACCGGAAGAGTAAAGCCTTGCATTGCAAACCTCCTCTTCTTTGAAATTCGATTTGTAGATCTGCAGGATGCTAATCTCGTCTATTATCTATGGCGTTTTGAATAAATGCCAACAACTCGTTAGCTATGAGTTGTTGGGAACTCATTGCTACAGAAGCGCGCGACGGCTGTTGCCGTGTGAGACGCGAATAATAAATTCTCCCAGCACAGTGTCGCACGTCCGTTTCCAAGCGCACATCGGACTGCACTCAATTAATCAATTTATTGATCACCCATCCAATGACCGACCACTGCGAAAGTTGCTTAACTTCAACGATCGCAGTCGATCACTCAAAGTCAGGAGGTTATATCTATATATTATACGCCATTGAGGGTTACTGTTAAGTAAATAACTTCCTTTCTCTCGCTATAAACGTTGTGTGTGATGTTGAATAGTTGAAAAATTGCTCTACTTTCTGTGAATTTTTGTCGATTGCTTTAGCATTTAATTCTCTTAGTTTGCAACGACTATAAACAGTATCCTTTTAATAAAAAAAATCTTCCCATCTCTCGCTTTATACGTTGTGTGTGATGTCGAATAAATAATAATAATAATAAATAAATATAAATATCTCCGACACTCACACCAATTAGCCTAGCCCCAAAGTAAGCACTAAAAGGCTTGTGTAATGGGATGCTAGGGTAACGGATAGAATACATATACTGTACATATATAAGTATATTTATATAAATACATATTAAACATCCATGACCGGAGTACAAATGCTCGTATTCATCACACAAACATCTGCCCCCACCGGGATTCGAACCCGGGACCTCTCGAGTCGGCGACAGTCATGAAACCCGGCGTACAAACCACTCGGCCACGGAGGTCGTCAAAAAATAAATACTAAACTACCACAGAACGTGACATCAACGTGGGATATCGATGAAAATTAAATTCAACCCTAACTTAAAGGGCGCGACCGACCTTTTTGTAGCATTTACCGCACAAACGGGCGGGGGATATATATAAAATTTTCCCGTCCATCAGTGGGAAAAAGCCTCCTAATAGAATTGACGCGTCGGTGAGCCGCACCGGTATATTTCACGGTCGCATTCTGCTGCGATGGGAATTCAATTACGCCGCGAATTACGCGCGGTGAGCCTTGAATTATTGCCGGTTTAAACAATACACGCGCTTGTCGTACGCCATTATTGATTGGTGGTATCTTTGCATTTGCTCAAGGTGTGTGACTGAAGTTCTACGTACAGCTCATAAACACAAAAAAGTATGAAACTTCTCTGAAGAAAAAAAATACTAGGTAAAAAATCGTCCAACGCAGGTTAGAGTTCTGCCTGAATTCTTGACCGACTTGATTTTATTCCTAGCAAATATTTTATTTAGTTTTATAAATCGAGCAGATTAATGCTTAAAAACATATATACCTATATCAATAATCAAATATCAATATACTAGGATAAGCTGTATATAAGAAAAAAATATATAGAATCAACGCCGCAGATTACTACTGGTTAGAAATGGATGGAGTGAGGCATCAGTGCTGCCATATATACGGATTTCTCCGTATCCATACGGAATTTTAACACTTCAGCCGGATAATAAAAGCATACGGATTTTTATATGGGATTGTCAGGAAAATGAAAAAACAGCAGTTTATTGATGTTTCTTATCCCAATAAAATGAATTAAATAAAACGAAATAATACGCATTGTTTGATCCTGCTTCAATACCATTGATTTGTATTGTTTTCAGCGAATTTAGCGAAAATCAGACAAAAACACTAGATTAATACAAAAACATTGGATAAATGGATAAAGTACAGAATATTTCGAGCAAAGAGAGAGAAAAAGTTTAAAATAGGTTTTTTGATATTTACTATATTTTTGTGTTATGAATTGAATCATTGTTTTAATTTTGTATAGACAAACATTATAACATATACGAAGGCGTTTTAGTAGGCAGGCGATGTTACAGCCTAAAAATTTATTAAAAATGACTCAATATTTACGTATAAATGATTTGATTGGAAAATCGTTTTTATTTTATAGTTACGATAAAAAATATTGATAATTATAAACATTACTAGAGATAGAATATTTCAAATCTCTCGCAAAAATAGTTCTTGACGTGCTTTAAATGATATCAATTAAAGGTAGGATAAAAATTTACACGGATTTCATATGGATTTGACAAAATAAAATATCTTACGGATTTTATACGGAATTTGGCAATGGAAATTACGGCTTTAACGACATGGCAACACCGTGAGGCATATTATTATGTAGGAATAATTTCAGAGAACACGTTTTATACATTATTATAACAGTTCCAGTCTCACATCAGGTTCTCATGAGGAATAGTCACTTAACTGTTATTTGAGAAGAATTTTAGTTTTATTAAATTATTGTCCATGCAGTGCCATCTTTAGTGTATTCTTCTTTTTCCTCATAGTGGTTTTAAAAACCTTTACACATACAATGCAGTCCCGCGCGGAATTCCCTTCGCCACGAAAACATCGTGTCAGAAGGTGTTGCAATATGCCCCTCATTTCAATCTTCTTGCCTCCTTCATTTGTCTTTACGATGACAAACACAAAATCCTAATCGATCACAAATTCACCCACATTGGCTTCGGGCCAAAATTCTAAAACAAGACTGTACGAGTGTCATTGCCGATGGCTGTGAAAAAGAAAAACGAAAAATGCCACCGAAATTGCAACATGCCCGCTTGTAGAGAAGTGAATTGATGGGGCGAGCGATGGACGCGCTCATCGCCGCGTCACTAAATGGAGCACTAGTGTTGTACAAGTGTCGGTAAAATAAATGTTGTATATTCGATAAATTTAATGGCACGCTCATATAATGCGATTCAAATAAGAACAGGAAAGCCAATGACCTCCATCTGTCAAATGTCGCTTGTAAAGTACAGTTTGCAAAAAAATCTTGGTAAACTTTTTAGCACTCGGTTAATTCTAGAATAAAAATCAAACATTTTTAAACAAACAATAACAAATATTGATAATTAATATTAGTTGATATTTTTTTTCATTTATGTTGCGTTCAGAAACTCGATTTTAAACTGTCGTTAACATATAGGATGCATGTTCGTATATGACCTGCATAAGTACATAACTACTCCGGCGGTAATGCAGAGATGAGCGGAATTGAAGAGCTAGATTCTGATTAATGTTTTTCCTCACACAGTCTTAATAAAGAAATATTATTAAAAATCGGTTGTTTTTTGTCTCAATCTTAGTAAATTAGTTTTATTAAAAAATCTGCTGTTTTTAGTCTAAGTAATCTCTTATCTATTAGACAAGTCCGTCTGTCTGTGGTGATGTTTCAGCGGCCAAACCGTAAGAGATAGATAAAGAGAATATTTAAGTTATAAGTTAAGAATAGTCTGATAAGTCTACAAACCGGATTTGGGTAACGTAGCACTTCCGGTTTTCGAGAAATCAGGTTTTGGTGAACATTTGGTTCACTGGTTTGCTAGTTAAGTTATATTAAATATAATTTTGTTTTTGCTCACTCTACCTATTCGGTTTGAAATGACAGCTATGACGTCAAAATAGGGCGCCCAGACGGTCCTATTCTTGTTGAATCGCATTATAATATTAGCGGCATGCACCACGAAAATTATCGGATTCACGCCCCAACTAATTGTGAATAGTTATATTTTTTTTTTGCCTTGCAGCTTAAGAATAGCTAGAAGAATTTTGACGCGGTCCGTGTGGGCCGCGGTAGCATAATTGGTCAGTGCATTCGCCCGGATTGCGAAGGGTGCGGGTTCAAGTCCCGCCTGCTGCCTGGTCCGCGTGGAATTTTTTCTAGTTATATTTTCTTTAGATTTAATTGTGACTTCATCCACTAAATACAGAACCCAGGTACAGAAGTTATGGTTTGTTTAACCTGTAAACGTTAATACAATGACCTGCCAGAGTAAGGCCAGATATTAATGATTAAGATAAGACATAGTTATTAATGATTAAAGCAAATGGATTAATTTATTAGAATAACTGATGACTTGTGTTGTTTTACGCCGTAGCGACCCGAATCATTAAGGCTACTTAGGCTGTTCGAAAATTGACAGTCTGACACATGAAATATAGTTTCCAAATATTACTTTTAGACGAGCTCCGTGGTCGAGTGGTTTGTACGCCGGGTTTCATGGCATCGCCGACTCGAGAGGTCCCGGGTTCGAATCCCGGTGGGGGCAGATGTTTGTGTAATGAACACGAGCATTTGTACTCCAGTCATGGATGTTTAAATATGTATTTCTATATAAATATACTTATATATGCAAAGTATATGTATTATATCCGTTACCCTAGTATCCCATAACACAAGTCTTATAGTGCTTACTTTGGGGCTAGGCTAATTGGTGTGAGTGTTGGAAATATTTATTATTATTAATATTATTATTATTTATTACTCCTTCAATACTGTCTCAATACTTAAAACATTGTAGAATAGGGTATTATACAGTATTAAAAATAAAGTGCCAATTGTTAGCATCTGTATTTAGAATTAATATTGGAAGGAGTTTTTACTATTTTTACGGAAAAAATGTTCATAATTTTACTAAAAACCCACGATAAAGATAATAGTTTTCTTGTCTTTTGTCACGTGACCCAAAACGCTTGGGATTGGTGGAGCCTAAAATGACGTCACACGCAAGTAAACTTCCGGTTAAAGCGACATTTGATTATATGGTTTGACGTTTTAATGACAGTCGTGTGACGTCACACGCCAGTGAGACGCCATATTGTCCAGAGATACGTTTTTCGCGGCAACTTGAAAATAGAGATTTTGATTTGGGTTTTTTTACCGAAATACACAACATAATGATGAATATCCACTTTTTATGGACTCTATAAACATTAGTAAATAACGTGAGATCGTTTTCTAAAACTTGTCAAATACCCTATTCTATTTGAACCGTCTCAGCTCAGCAGGTCGTTTCTTAACGCAGGTATCTTCGTTATTTCAGAAGATATGTATGCATACAGAACGGTGGCATTTTTTCTGCGATTCCATGGGGGGTTATCAAGATGACAGTAAAAAAGGAATCCATTATTCGTGGTTGTGATAGATACCGTCCCCTGACGTCATATGTCAACGTCACCAACGTAAACAGCGTGTAGGTGGCTGTTAAATTTAAATGTGTTATAGGAGCTCGCGACATTTTGTCATTTTTCATCTGCGATAGTATAGAGGTTCATACTAAAATTAATAAGAATAATTTAATGTTACTATACGGCAAAGCACATCGCTAGAAACGCTTTTATGAGCAAACCTAAATAATACTTTACTAGGAAAAGTTTTACGCGGACCAGGCAGCAGACGGGACTCGAACCCGCATCCTTATTAATGGTTACATACAGTGCGAAGGGATGGCGCTACCTTGCAGTAATGGTCACTGAATTCGCCCGGATAGCGATGGGTACGGGTTCGAGTCCCGTCTCCTGTCTTGCCTGCGTGTATTTTTTTTCTAGTAAACTGCTCTTTAGATTTAAACATGTATCAGTTAAATGCTTAAAAATTAAAATTAGGCCTTCATGAGCCGTTAAAATTTACAAGCTAACATTAGTAAAATTAAGCATTACATTGGGTATGAAATTAATGCGGGAAATTCGTACACCACTCCGTAATCACCGTACAAAACGTGGGCCTCACACATAAATATGCGAACAAAATGTTACAAGGCATATCATTAACTTATCATTAGAGGGAATCAAAGCAATAAAGGGCAGCAATACACGACCAAAACAAACATTAAAATCGAGCACACAACACAATTTCATGGCGCGCAGCAGATTTTCAAGAGCCCACTCTGGAAATTATGTGAAAAGTAGTATACATAGTTGTGGGCATAATTACGATATGAGAGCCGCGGTGATTTTGGCAACCAACCGGTCGTGAAGGACCTGTGCGTGTTTTATGTGGAGGACTGTGACCAAAATTGTTGGGCTCATATCAGCAGTATAGTATTCAACTAAGAATAGGACCGACTGGGCGCCATATTGTGATGTCATAGCTGTCAATTCAAACCAAATAGGTAGAGTACGCATAAAAAGTTTTTATTTAATAAAACTTCTTTTTTTGTCTTCGACCAGTGCGTCCTCCCATTTATGACATACGGCGCCGAGACGTGGACGCTCACGGCTGGACTGGTCCACCAGTTTAAAGTCGCTCAGAGAGTTATGGAAAGGGCTATGCTCGGAGTATCCCTGAAGGACCGCATCAGAAATGATGTAATCCGACAGAGAACCAGAATCACCGACATAGCCCACCGAATTAGCAAACTGAAGTGGCAGTGGGCTGGTCACATTAGCCGCAGAACTGATGGCCGATGGAGCCGTAAAGTTCTTGAGTGGAGACCGCGACTCGGTAAACGTAGTGTGGGACGCCCTGAGACAAGATGGGATGATGACATTCGTAGGCTGGCTGGCGTGAGCTGGATGAGAGTGGCAGAAAATCGGGAGCAGTGGCGTGCATTAGGGGAGACCTATGTCCAGCAATGGACGAGCATGGGTCGATGATGATGATGATGATGAAAACTTATTTGCTAAGATTAAGTGGGAAAAAACATCAGATTTTTTTAATAACATTTATTTACTAAGATTGAGAAAAAACCCACCGATTTTTAATAATATTTATTTATTAAGACTGAAAAAGAAACATTAATCTGAATCTAGCTCTTCCATTCCGCTCTGCATTACCGCCGGAGTAGTTATGAATAATCATGCACTATTACTAGGTCACATACGAACATGCATCCTTTATGTAAACGAAAGTTTGAAATCGAGTTTCTGAACACAACTTAAAGTGACATTTGGTTGACGATTTAGGTTATCAAACATTCATGGCCAAAGCTCAAAAAGTTGAAAAATATATCAACCGATATTAATTATCAATATTTGTTATTGTTTGTTTACAAATGTTTGGTTTTTATTTTTGAATTAGCGGAGTGCTAAAAAGGGTTCGTTTTTTTTTTGCAAACTGTACTTTTCAAGCAACCTTTGACAGATAAAGGTCATTGGCTTTCCTATTCTTATTCGAATCGCATTATAGGTATTATAAACATTAAACAGCTTATTGTTTTAAACTTTCATGGTCACTAACATTATACGGGATTTTTTACCATTTTTGAAGTGAAAACTTCTATAGCGGCGTTGTACACTTTTTTTTTGTAAGGGTAAAAAATGTTAAACTCGCGTCAGGTTAAACACGTGGGCTGATCGCATCATAACACACAATAAATTAGAAATGTTGTTGACATTCAATATATTGGACGAAACATAGTAATATTTCATTTTATCGTATTATAAATCGATCATTCGTATGACGAAAACAATAAAATTGGAAAGGTTGTTGACTTTCAATATATTGGACGAATCATAGTAATATTTTATTTTATCGTATTATAATAATAAGTCTGTATCTAGGACGTCCAGGTGGCAGCTTTATTACGAAGAAAATGCATTTTTTTACAATAGATTTCGCTAGGTATGTTAAACTTTTTAATGTAATATAAATTGTCATGTTTGTGTACGAAAGAAATTATTCCCTAACCATTCCAAAATATCAAAAATGCACAACGTTAATATTCAAGTTTTCACTTCTGCCGGCACTCCCGGAATGCAACACGTCGTTTTTTTTTATAGCCAGGTAGGGAAATGACTCTACCCTACCTGATGTTAAATGGTGATAGAGTCCAAACGCGAACATAGCTGGTACGGCAGTTATAAACTGCCACAACAACCACCCTCACCATACCAGCTTGCAAAAATGCTTTTTCACGCCTCTCTTAAAGGACCTATGATTGTAGGAAGGAGAGAACACGTGCGCGGGCAAAGAATTCCACTTGCGAATGTACTATTCGCAAAGAAATGAGGCGTCAAATTTATTTGTTGAATAGTGGTCACAGAAAGTCGGTGACTACGTAGGCCAGCGCGCGTGGTCCTCTGAAGAAAAAGTGATGGAGGAATAAGGGAGAATAATTGTTTACTGTGTCTCCGATATTAGGGCACTGTTGCAAGCGCAATGATCATGGAGTAACTGAAGTTATTGCGGGTAGATGTTCGAGCGCAATAAAAGACGACGTCAGAGGGTAGACCGATATGTCTGCCAATAACATCTACCCGCAATCACTTCAGTTACTCCGTGATCACCGAAATTTCGGCACTGTTGCAAGCGACATATATCGGAGACTCATAAAAAACAAGATACATGGTAACAAATCCGTTAGTAGCTAAAATAAAAACAGTTTACCTATTAAACTAGCGGCCCGCCCTCGCTTCGCTTTGGTATAGAGCTGAAGTGTAGATTACAGTTTTTGTTCTCAGGCTTGTATTATACACAATGACATTCATCTATGATTCTTCTTATACCTGCATGCAAAGTCTCAGCCCGATCGGTTTAAAATTGACAAAGCTTCATACAAACTTTCATTCCCTATCTTAGCCCTTTGGGGGTAGAATTGACCAAAATCCTTTCTTAGCGGATGCCTACGCCATAACATCTACCTGCATGCCAAATTTCAGCCCGATCCGTCCAGTGGTTTTCTCAATCACTTACTTGCCTACAATTAAAGTTATTAGAAAGTTCGTAGTTCACTTGCAGGCTGAAAATTTGACGATGGCTTAGGTGACACGTAAAACTTATGCAGAAGATGTATTTCTATCTATAGTCTGTTCCAAATGAAGTTAGACTAGAAGTAAACAAAGAGGTAGGTAAGTCTGACCATAGACAGTTTAGTGATGGGGATTCATAGAGCCTTATCAAATTCAATTAATCAATTGAATGATCACATTCATGGAAACTGTTAAAGATATATAAGGCTTAATTTGTAGCATTCATATTTTTTATCGTCATTACTCAAAAAAGAACTCTAGCTGCTAACTGTATATGGCAATATAGTTAACTATATTTCGTTACAATAACAAAACTCTTTTTGAACGATTGGTTTGCGTGATTTATTGAATATCTAGGTTCGTGGTCGTCATATATTATATGTTATACTATTATATATTACTAGCTGACCCAGCGAACTTCGTACCGCCATAAAAAATAGGGGCTGGTGGAAGAAGAGTGAAAATTTAGGGTTGTATGTATTTTTGTATGATGTATCATAAAAAAATTAAAAAAAAACTAAAATTGCAACAAAAAAAATTTAGGTGTGGATTACCCTTAACATTTAGGGGGGGTGAAAAATAGATGTTGTCCGATTGTCAGACCTACCCAATATGCACACAAAATTTCATGAGAATCGGGAAAGCCGTTTCGGAGGAGTTTAACCACAAACACCGCGACACGAGAATTTTATATATTAGATATTATAGCGGGGCACTCGACCTAGACTTATAATGTATTGGTAATGCTTTGCTTGTTCAATGTACCTCATGATTCATGAATATAACAAAGCTCAATATACATCAACCGTTTTGATTGAAATTACGATAAATCGCCTCATAAATCCAGCTAGGCCCTCGTCTGTATTACACTCGGAGATGATGATAATAATATGATATTATAGTTATTTACGAGATTGTTACCATGTACCTTGTTTTAAGCAAGTTTCCTATATTTCGGCACTGTTGCAAGCGCCATGATCACGGAGTAACTGAAAATAACTTATATTAGGTACTGTAATGTTAGTGATCATGAAAGTTTAAAACAATATGATAATAATATGCTAGACTGTATTTATATGAACATAATGCTTAAAGATACAATAGGAATCTCCTGACAATGTATGTACGCGCGGAGTCCTTAGCCACGGTAATATTATATACAATATACAGTATTCTATCTTCATACAAACGGTCGGAAAGCGAATCATATCTACGCCACTCGAGTTCGAGGGACTCTCGGGGGACATCCAGTCGCGAATGCGCCGCCGCGCCGCAACGACGACCGAACGGTGTGAATTGTTTTTTATGCAGTGAGCCGTGCTTAAACGTGCGCTTTGTATTATAAATATTTGATAGGATTAAGTAGATACCTTCATTCTAAATCCAACATGGCGGAATATGGCTTGCGGAGAATTTTTACATATAAAATAAAAAAATTACAATCACAAAACTAGAAAGAAACTCAATTATGTAGATGAAATTAAAATACTGTAGGCGGGCGGCCCTACCGCGTGTTAACGCAGCGCTCGGCCGTAGGCATTTATTTCAA